CTGGGAGCCGCATGCGGGACTCACCGGCCCAGCCGCGTCTGTGTGTCAGAGAGTCAGAGCTGAGGACAGAAGCTGGGGCCACGGCAGGGTGAGCGCGAGAGCCACTCAGTCGTGTCCGGCTCTGCGACCCCGTGGACTGTATGGTTCATGTATGGAATCCTGCGGGCCAGAATGCTGGAGTGGGCAGCCTTTCCCTTCTCCAGGGGATCTTCCTGACCTAGGGATGGAACCTGCGTACCCACCATCTCAGGCCAATTCTTACCATCTGTGCTCCCAGACAACCCCCAGAGTTACAAAGGGGACCTGAAATCCTTCTGACAATAATTAAAACTCAAAAGATTTTGAAATGTTATCTTTTCCAACTAAATTTTCCATATGTGATTACTTTTAAGAAAGCAGCATTGTATCTGAAAAACATTTCCCTATCTGGTTGAAGCTGAAGGATTCTGCCGAAAAAAAGAAAAACAAGGCATTGATCTTCCTGACCCAGGAATGCAATGAGTATAACCATAGTGTCAATGCCATCAACACTTATCTTATAAGAGATTTTCTGGAAGCTATGTCAGAAATTTTCCAATAAAGTCCAGAAGGGAGGAGGTTTCCGTGTTTTTCAAAGTCTTTATTTCATGATCTGACTTTCAGCTCTAGAGAGGAAACAGAGTTGGTCTCTGGCAAGCGCACCCCAACAGATCTGGGTAACCCGTCAGAGCACCATCTCCCACCACCACCAAGGTCTGTCCCTCTTGGCCTCCTGACTCTCAGCCCAGTGAGTCCTGTCTGGGTATTGTTAGCAACAGACGGTGCCTGCAGCTCTGCCTGCGGGCTCTCAGATGCCTTTTCTCAGCAGCCTTCAAAGAGCAACGCTGAGCATGGCCCTGTTCTGCAAAGGTTTCCAGAACTCTGAAGACCTTTCTCCCTCTCACCTCTTTTTTCCCTTAACTTTGAAGACCTTACTCCATCTAAACTTGGTTTTTCCTTAGCTTTGAAGACCTTTCTCCCACTAAACTTCTTCTTCCATAACTTTGGAGAGTTTTCTCCTTATAAACTAGTTTTTTCCTTAACTTTGGAGAACTTTTCCCCTCCAAACTGTTTTCTTCCATAACTTTGAAGACCTTCATCTGTCTAAACTTGTTTCTTTTATAATTTGAAGGACTTTCTCCCTCTAAACTTGTTTCCTCTGTGAGTGCTGCATCGTTGCATAATGAAGACTGTCAACTCAAACAGCAGGGACGTCGCGGCGTCTCCCACGAGCGTGGCCCTGAGCTGGGCGCTGGGCGCCTGGCTGAGGACACGACCTCCGAGCTGAGGTGCCTCCCAGGTGATGAGAGACCAGAAGTGCTCACAGATACTTCCTAGTGTTATGAGAAAACATCTAGATGGTGGCAGCCACACACAATTCCCCAAGAAAGTCCCTGGCAGACATTTCACTCTGTACAGACTTTATGGAGGAGCCTCCGTGTTCCCCATTAGGTGACCGGCCTTAGGACAGCCTCATTCTCCTTGATTTGATTTTGTGTCTGTACCACCAACTACAGTCTCTGGACATATTTCTAAAGTGATCGTGAGGTTTCCTGTGTGATGTAATTATGTAAAATGTTAAAGCTCTTCAGCCAGACATAGAGGGAAATAGCATTTTAGATGCAGATTTTCCCGGAGATGTCAGAGAACAGGTCATCTGAGAATGGCCTGGGAGGTTCCGAGAGGAAATAGGTTGGGTCGGGGGGATGTGTCCCGGAGGGGATTGAGGAGCAGACAGTGGCAGGAAGGAGCCTTGAAATCCACGCCAGGCCAGATCGGGAAGGGCCTGCACCCAGCACACGGAACCCAGAGAAGGCGCCCGGGACTTCCGGGGTTCCGCACGGAAAGAGCTGGGCAGTCGTCTCCCCTGCTCCGTGCACCCCTGTCCTCAAGTGTTTCAGCTTCTGGAGAGAAACAGGAGGGGGACGGGAGGAGGGGCCCCAAGCCCAGGAAGGTGTCCCAGTGCTCGGCAACACTGAAAGAAGATGAGGCTGATGGTTACAAATGAACGTTGATGAACCAGGAGGTTTCTGCATCACCAGGCTGACCCAGCACCACCCCCAGTGAGGGCACGCCCCCGGAATGGCACCAGGAACAGAGATGAAGAATGTGTAAGTCCCAGCAGAGCGCTTGGATCTGCAGCCCCGTCAAGAGGGCCGGGACCCTCCTCCAGCTCACTAATCTCTCACCACCACGCTGCGTGTCACATGGCAGAAAAGTGGGGCCTTAAGTGTGGACTAGGGAGGGTTTTTTCCAGACCAAGGAATTTTATGAAAACTCCACAGATTGAAAGCTTCTGTTTCACAAAGAGGTCTCTCTAAAAACCATGTTCAGTCCTAATGTGGATTTATGACGCAGAGGAAAGGACCAGGTGGCCCTAAAGAGACACTGAAGAAGCAAGTCCGATGATAGGGGTCAGATTCCCTGAGACTCAGAACTGAAGCAATAGCAGTGTGACTCAGAAAGGGGTAAGAGGTCCTGGGTGGGGCGGTGAGGGTGGCGGTGACCTGCCCAGGAACGAGATCTGGGGAGGGAGGACCCAGGGTGGACCTCCCACAGCCCAGTGGGAACAGGGAGTCCGGGGGACGCACAGGCTGGGGTACGCGGGGCGGACGTGTTGGGAGTGACGCCAGGGAGGGAGCCGCAGAAACAAGAAGGGAGGCAGACATAATTCAGAAGCAATGTTAAAATTCAAACTCATGTTTCAGACGTGTGTCTCTAAGCCAGTGGTGAAGACGTGTGCTACCGTTGCTTGTATTTCCTTCTCAGGACTGTCTGAACCTGACTTCCTGACAGCAGTTACATCTATTTGCTCCACAGAGTTGGTGGGCAGATTCCAGAAGACACTGCGTGTCACGTTTGTTAAATTCAGTGAGACGTGATGGGAAGCTTGGTGAACATCTGTCTCCACCACTGCTGATAGGAAATACCACCCCTGACTTTGCATGTCACCCACTAGGCCCCCAAAGAGAAACCTCCAGACTCATCACTGTGCTGGAGATGTGGTGGGTGCCGACGTGAAAGGGGGCTGATTACGTGTCCAGCCAGCATTTCTCAAAGGCAGCACGGCTGACAAGTGGGGTCAGATGGCCATTCCTGGTGTGGCTGCCTGGACACCTCCCACTAGAGGCCAGCTGCGCCTCCCTCAGAGATGGCAAGAAAAGTACCTCCAGGGCTGCTACTTGTCCTCAGGGGGCAGTGCCCACCAGCTGAAGACTGGTGTCACAGACTCATGCAGCCAGGAGGGCATAAACCATGATAAGCGGAGGAGGACAGAAAAAATCTCTCTGGGGTGAATCTAACCTGGCCTGGGGAATACAGGGAAGAGCATGTATAGAAATGGAAGTGAAAATGGTTCACCAGCTACGTCATAGAATTTTCCAGACCCAGCGGAGTCATTGTCGCCATGAGAGTTTAGGTGATTCCTGTATCCCCCACCACCCCCGACCCCCATCTCCCGGCCGGAGATTACCTGCTCCATGAGCAGAACCAGGACCCCGGGGAACCGTTGGGTTCCCTGGCCGCATCTCAGGCAATAGTGCACACATCCTGACACTAATTGCTCTTGTTAATTATATGACATATGACTTACATACATGATATCGATCGTATGTTAATGTTGTGCATACGGCGAGGTTCCAGGACACATTCACCCTGAGTTTGTGGTGATCGGTTATCGGAAACCAAGACACCTGTTTCCTCAGAAGCAGCGTGTCTTCGCTGCCCGGGCTGATGACTGGTGACTCTGCCCCCAGGCCCCGCTGGGCGAGAGCCGCTTTCCCTCTGCTCCAGCCGCCAACAGTTCTCTGAGCGGGAGCCCCCCACCCTCTGCTCTCAGAGCCTCAGAGCCATGCCGGGGGCAGGGCAGCTGTGACCCAACTCTGAGTTGGGGAGGCGTGACTGAGGAATCAGGTGAGTCTGAGCCAAAACCCCAGAGAGCCCCGGACTGCTGCTGGCTCGGCTTCAGGTTGCTGCCTGAACCACCATCCAGAACAGAGTTCCTCAGGTAAACAGTGCGGTTCTCCGCACAGAAAAGCCACATCTAAATCCCCAAGTCCTCAGGTGGTTTGCCAGAAGTTTCACCTTCATTTTCCGTTCGAAGGATTCCTTAACTAAAGAAACCCCTTGTTCTGTTCAGCTCAGCCACTGGGTCATGGCCAACTCTTGTGACCCCATGGACTGCAGCACGCCAGGCCTCCCTGTCCATCACCAACTCCCGGAGCTTGTTCAAGCTCATCAAATCGGTTTTGCCATGCAACCATCTCATCCTCTGTCATTCCCTCCTCCTCCTGCCCTCAATCTTTGCCAGCATCAGGGTATTCTCCCAGGAGTCACTTTTTTGCATCAGGTGGCCAAAGAATGTGAACTTCAGCTTCAACATCAGTCCTTCCAATATTCAGGACTTATTTCCTTTAGGATTGACTGGTTTAATCTCCGTGCAGTCAAAGGGACTCTCAAGAGTCCTCTCCAACACCACAGTTCAAAAGCATTAAATCTTTGAAGCTCAGTCTTCTTTATGATCCAACATTCCTATCCATATATGACTACTGGAAAAACCATAGCTTTCACTAGATGAGACTTTGTTAGTAAAGAAATGTCTGTGCCTTTTAATGGGCTGTCTAGGTTAGACATAAGTTTTCATCCAAGAAGCAAGCGTCTTTTAATTTCATAGCTGCAGTCACCATCTGCAGTGATTTTGGAGCCCAAGAGAATGAAGTCTCTCACTGCTTCATCTGTTTTCCCATGTATTTCCCAGGAAGTGATGGGACCAGATGCCATGATCTTCGCTTTTTGAAAGCTTAGTTTTCAGCCAACTCCTCTTTCACTTTTATCAAAGGCTCTTCAGTTCCTCCTGGCTTTCTAAGATAAGGGTGGTGTCATCTGCATATCCGAGCTTATTGGTATGTCTCCCGGCAATGTTGATTCCAGCTTGTGACACAGAAATAAACAGGTTTAATTCTCAATGCATTCCTTAATCTCAGCATGCAGCTATGAAAAGAGAAGACCCGGAAACAACAGAGGGGAGTACCAGCACACACATCGCCAAGTCGGGTTCCCAGCCGACATCCAGACTCCAGCATCCCTGCAAAATCCCAAATGAGGTCCATCTGGACCCCCAGCGAGGAAAGAATCCCGGGCTCTGCGTCCACCCCAAGGGTGAGACTTCACACTGGGGTTATGGGGGCTCCCATTTATAATCCCAGACTGCACAATGATATCATCATCGGCTCTGTGAAATCATCGCAGCTCGAGGTTTTTCCCTAATAGCTGCAATGCTGTTTGTTTAATCTTGAGAATCAGAAGATCCCTTACACTGGCGCCTAGCACCCAGAGGCTAAGAAATTCCAACACCCACTCGCTTTCATATCTCAAGTGCCCCCTTGACTTGCTGGTAATGATAATCATCCCTGCAGTCAGGTATGGGGTACAGGCAGGGTCCAGGGCCTGAAGTCGGTCAGAGGTATGCTGTCCTTTTTCTGAAGCTTCAGCCAGGCTACCTCCACTTTAATTTCCCAAACATGTCAAACTCGGGCGATTGTGAAAGACAGGGAGTACAGATGTGGGGAAGAATGTGAGTGGGATCACACAGGACTAGTCCTTTTGTGACTGGTGTATTTCACTTGGCGTCATATCCCCAAGGGTCACCCATGTTAGAGCCTGTGTCAGGCTTACCTTCCTCTTTTAAAGGCTGGATGTGTCTCCATTTGTGTAGAGACTACACTCTGTTACCATTTATCTCGGCACGGACATTGGGAGGCTTGCACTCTTGGCTGTTGTGAATAATGCTGTTCAAACACGGGCCTGCAAGAGTGTGTCTGAGGCCCTGCTCTTAATTCTTCTGAGGACACAGCCAGAAGTGGAATTTTGCCTCATGCGGTACAGAACCTCAGGTCTGAGAAGACGCGGGACACGAGCGCACATGGGCACACAAACACACACACACACGCGGTCTCCAACAGCCCTTTATTTGTGGACCTTCGCCAAGGTCACTGGGGTTTCAGCTCTTCCAGACATCGGGGAGAGTTGTGAGGAGCACCAGGGCGCCTCCACCACCTTATCACGGCGAGCAGAAGCGGCCGCAGAACAGGATGGCCCCAGTCTTGCCGTGCTGGATGAAGAAGAGGAAGGGCCGGTCGGCATGGAAGTGGGACACGTTCTGCATGCAGATAAATACTTCCATGGCCTCCGTGGCGGCCGCGGCCTCCGTGCCCTCCTCGGTGACCTCCACGAAGGACTTGTGCACGACCTTGGACAGGTGCAGGCCTCGCCCGTATGACATCCCGGTGAAGTCGGCGCGGAGAGCATCGAAGGCGTCGGTCATGCCCAGGTCTCGGAGGACGCCCTCCATGTTGTAACTCTCCTCCAGCGTGAACCGGGGCAGGAACACCTCCACCATCTCCTCGGCCAGCATGTCCGGCTTCGTCCATGCGATGAATTTCTCGAAGGTCAGGGCCTTCTCCACCTGGAGGAGAAGGTAGAAGATCTCAGGGTCTGCAGCAGCTGTGCCCTGGGGACCATCCCCTGTGACCCATACTCTGTGCCCTGTGGGCCCGGGGCGGCCTGCCAGCTGCACACGAGTTCCCGGAGCCCAGTGACCGGTAGGCATCCAGATGAGACCCCGGGCCCCAGGGCCAAGGATGTCCGGTTACCGTGTTCAAGTCAGTGCTTTCACTGGGCAGCAGGATGACCATGTTCATCTCTTGGCCGATGTAGGGAAGCACCAGAATCTGGGTGCTTATCTCCCCAATGTAGGTCATTTTAAAGGTGGCATTCTTGAACATCATTTGCACAGGTTTCTCCACGTTCTATAAAGGAAAGGGATAAACCCTAAGTGGAAACGAGACCCGTGGACATGCTGGACGAATCATCAGAGCCGGCCACCTGCGCACACACTCTGTCTTGTCTTCCAGACCCAGCTCAGCTCCGTGTCGTCAGCTATCTGCACAGCTCCAGCTCCCAACCCGGGTTCCCAGCGCTCAGGCCTCAGGCTTCCGGTCTCCTGCTGACCCAGGAGGGCTCTGCACGGACATTCCCAGCAGGACCTCACCCCGGCTCCTGCCTACCTGACATCTACATCTGGACGCAAAGGAGCCTCCGTGTCGGCTCCCACACTGGCGGCTCGTGTTCCTCCCCACACCTGCTCCATCTATACTTTCCCGTCTCTGCTCATGGCGACACCACTCATCCCACAGTCAACCCTGGAGTGTCCTGGGCCCCTGTCCCTCCCACCCCACAGCTCACCCATGAACAAACCATGTTGGCTCTATTTTAAAGACAACAGGGCTTCCCTGATGGCTCAGGGGTAAATAATGCGCCTTCCAGTGCAGGAGACACAGGCTCCATCCCTGGTCTGGGAAGACCCCACAGCCCAGGGGCTTCTAAGCCCTCAGGCCACAGCTACTGAGGCTGGGCTGAGAGCCCGGGGCCGCAGCTCCTGAGGTCACCGGCCTGGAGCCCGAGTTTGGCACCAAGAGAAGCGCCAGCAGGAGGAGCCCGAGCATGGAGCCCAGAGGGCTTCCGCCACGGCAGCTGCAGGAGAGGCTGCGGCCAGGGGACCTGGCACGGCCGAGAATAAACACATGCAATTAATGAAACATACAATACAGTCTGACTTGTGCTTCCTACCCCACCACGCTCAGCCAAGCCTGGGTCATCAGGAAGAATTCCAAGTAACCTCCCTGGTCCTGCACGCGGGCCCGAGGGGCTCTGGGAGAGCAGAGCCCCTGTGAGAGGCCCCGGGCTCTGCGAGAGCTCAGAGGAGGGACACAGGAGCCAGGAACCCGGGCTGGGGAGACCGCTAGGGAGGCTTCGGGACGGCCCTGCAGAGAAAGGCGTCTGTGCTGGTAACTGCTGACGGGATGGGGCGGACGGTAAGATCCAGCCCACGGAGCTTCATAGACACAGTCTCGAGTTTGACCTGGATCTCGGGAGTTCTAGGAGGCCCAGAGACCTGTGAGCTGCTCTGGGGGATGTGTGATACAAGACGGAACACCCACGGCACGGATCCCCTGATGATACGGCAAAGCAGGAGCGGGGGAGGAAGCCAGGGTTTGCCCGGATCCACCTCTGGGCCGCCACGGCCACGAGAGGCACGGGTCCTTGAGGTCAGCCTGCTCGCACACTCCATAAAGCAAGGGGACCCCAGGGACCGTTTCCAGGAATCTCCTTCCTTATTGTGAAACATTCTTATTCACCTTGCTGACGTGGAATGGCCTTCGAAAGGTGTGCTGTTTGTTAAATTGTTCAGCCCAGTTTCCTTTGAAGTAGACGGAATTCACGAGAACCAGACGAGTCATGGGGTCAACTGAATTTGCAGCGAGCAAGTCTTTAATTTTACCTGCAAAGCAGAATTAAAGAGTCAGTGAGTGAGCAGGGTTTCCTGGGGGAGGTGCTGGGCACAGTATTTACTGGCCTGTCCCCTGGAGGAGTCAGGCACTGACCAGAGGGCTCACTGTCCCCCAGACAAGCATGGACAGCGAGCTGTCTGCTCACTCGCTAAGCTGTGTCCGACTCTCTGTGACCCCATGGGCTGCCGCCCACCAGGCTCCTGCATCCATTGGATTCCCTGGCAAGAATACTGGCTCAGGTTGCTACTTCCTCCTCCAGAGCATCTTTCTGACCCAGGGATCCAACCCGCCTCTCCTGCATTGGCAGGTGGATTCTTTACCCTCGGGGGAAAGCTAGAGAAATTGATTACTGATTATATTTCAGGAGTGCATTTTGAAAGTTACAGTTATTCATAGGAAAAAGCCATTCCTGTTTACATTTGCTGGTCTTGGAAGGAACTGATGGGTAATGAGACTGATTCAAATACTACGCAATCAGAAGTACAGGCATGCCCTCACCTTCTGTCTTCTCGGCTACCCAGGTGTTTATGTGCTTCCTGGATTCCTCCGTAGCGCTGACAAAGTCCAGCTCTTCCATCTCTGCTTGGTAGAACATGCGGCAGGCATCTTTGAAAGACTAGGAGAGACGGAGTGACAGAATCACATGGCTACAGACACAGACCACGCCAACAGCTCACTTCTTCACGGCGCCAAACCTAAACACTGATCATTTGAAGGTTCCTTGTGGAATCTACAAACGATGGGAGGAATTAACCTTCAATCCAGTTTCTCAGTTTTCAGCTAACTTGAATAAATGACAGTAAAATCACAGGCTTCCCAGGTGGCACTGTGGTAAAGAATCCGCCTGCCAATGTTGGAGACGAGGGTTTGATCTCTGCATCGGGAAGATCCCCTGGAGAAGGAAATGGCAACCCACTCCAGTATTCTTGCCTGGACAATCCCATGGGCAGAGGAGCCTGGTGGGCTACAGCGCATGGGGTCGCAAAGAGTCAGACACAACTTAGCGACTAAACCACAGCAACCCAACCATTCGAGAGAGGCCATGTGGCAACAGTGCCGGCAGCACAGGTTCCGGGCTTCACCCCTGTGTGACCCTGGGAAGGCTGCTGCGTCGCTCTGGCTTCTTTGCCCCCTGGCAGCACGGACGCAGCAGTAGCTACGTCTCAGAGGTGCTCTGAGGACCAGGAGAGCCTGGCTCCGTCCGTGTCACGTGGCTGAGCTCTCCGCTCACCGTGGACCCTCTATCTCGTGGTCCAGGTGCCTCATTTCATAGAATGCTCACATCATTCAGGCTCTGCCAGCCTACTGCTCCACTTCTTCATCGGGGCTTTGGAAAAAGATGGCAGTCTCTCAGTCTAAGGAAATAGTCAGGAAGCAAAGTGGTCACCAGCAAGTCGATACCTCATCAGACCCTTGGTGATTTCAAGAGCTTTAAAGCACATCTGAAAACAAGAGCCTGCCTCTTAAATTACTGTTTAGTAAGTAATGACCAGTCAAAACACAAACTAAAGGAATATCTAATTATACACTGCAATTGGTATTGGATTGTTGGAATACTCAAACACTATGAAATAAGTGAAAATATTTCTCATCTTTCGATTTTATAGTCCATATAAAAATAACATTTTAGATATCAATGCATTTCTTCAAATATCCAATAGAAAGAAAGGAAGTTAAGGAAAACTAGCCAATTCTTTGTGTTTCTTGGAAATTTTGCTTTTCTGTATAAGAAAGATTACAATAACAGGAGAAGGAAATGCTAACCCACTGCAGTATTCTCGCCTGGAAAACTCCATGGACAGAGGAGCCTGGCAGGCTGCGTGCACGGGGTTAGATGCCTGAGCATGAGT